AGATATTTGAGATATTTGAGATATTTGAGATATTTGAGATATTTGAGATATTTGAGATATTTGAGATATTTGAGATATTTGAGATATTTGAGATATTTGAGATATTTGAGATATTTGAGATATTTGAGATATTTGAGATATTTGAGATATTTGAGATATTTGAGATATTTGAGATATTTGAGATATTTGAGATATTTGAGATATTTGAGATATTTGAGATATTTGAGATATTTGAGATATTTGAGATATTTGAGATATTTGAGATATTTGAGATATTTGAGATATTTGAGATATTTGAGATATTTGAGATATTTGAGATATTTGAGATATTTGAGATATTTGAGATATTTGAGATATTTGAGATATTTGAGATATTTGAGATATTTGAGATATTTGAGATATTTGAGATATTTGAGATATTTGAGATATTTGAGATATTTGAGATATTTGAGATATTTGAGATATTTGAGATATTTGAGATATTTGAGATATTTGAGATATTTGAGATATTTGAGATATTTGAGATATTTGAGATATTTGAGATATTTGAGATATTTGAGATATTTGAGATATTTGAGATATTTGAGATATTTGAGATATTTGAGATATTTGAGATATTTGAGATATTTGAGATATTTGAGATATTTGAGATATTTTGAGATATTTGAGATATTTGAGATATTTGAGATATTTGAGATATTTGAGATATTTGAGATATTTGAGATATTTGAGATATTTGAGATATTTGAGATATTTGAGATATTTGAGATATTTGAGATATTTGAGATATTTGAGATATTTGAGATATTTGAGATATTTGAGATATTTGAGATATTTGAGATATTTGAGATATTTGAGATATTTGAGATATTGAGATATTTGAGATATTTGAGATATTGAGATTTTGAGAAATTTTGAGATATTTGAGATAATTGAGAAATTTGAGATATTTGAGATATTTGAGATATTTGAGATATTTGAGATATTTGAGATATTTGAGATATTTGAGATATTTGAGATATTTGAGATATTTGAGATATTTGAGATATTTGAGATATTTGAGATATTTGAGATATTTGAGATATTTGAGATATTTGAGATATTTGAGATATTTGAGATATTTGAGATATTTGAGATATTTGAGATATTTGAGATATTTGAGATATTTGAGATATTTGAGATATTTGAGATATTTGAGATATTTGAGATATTTGAGATATTTGAGATATTTGAGATATTTGAGATATTTGAGATATTTGAGATATTTGAGATATTTGAGATATTTGAGATATTTGAGATATTTGAGATATTTGAGATATTTGAGATATTTGAGATATTTGAGATATTTGAGATATTTGAGATATTTGAGATATTTGAGATATTTGAGATATTTGAGATATTTGAGATATTTGAGATATTTGAGATATTTGAGATATTTGAGATATTTGAGATATTTGAGATATTTGAGATATTTGAGATATTTGAGATATTTGAGATATTTGAGATATTTGAGATATTTGAGATATTTGAGATATTTGAGATATTTGAGATATTTGAGATATTTGAGATATTTGAGATATTTGAGATATTTGAGATATTTGAGATATTTGAGATATTTGAGATATTTGAGATATTTGAGATATTTGAGATATTTGAGATATTTGAGATATTTGAGATATTTGAGATATTTGAGATATTTGAGATATTTGAGATATTTGAGATATTTGAGATATTTGAGATATTTGAGATATTTGAGATATTTGAGATATTTGAGATATTTGAGATATTTGAGATATTTGAGATATTTGAGATATTTGAGATATTTGAGATATTTGAGATATTTGAGATATTTGAGATATTTGAGATATTTGAGATATTTGAGATATTTGAGATATTTGAGATATTTGAGATATTTGAGATATTTGAGATATTTGAGATATTTGAGATATTTGAGATATTTGAGATATTTGAGATATTTGAGATATTTGAGATATTTGAGATATTTGAGATATTTGAGATATTTGAGATATTTGAGATATTTGAGATATTTGAGATATTTGAGATATTTGAGATATTTGAGATATTTGAGATATTTGAGATATTTGAGATATTTGAGATATTTGAGATATTTGAGATATTTGAGATATTTGAGATATTTGAGATATTTGAGATATTTGAGATATTTGAGATATTTGAGATATTTGAGATATTTGAGATATTTGAGATATTTGAGATATTTGAGATATTTGAGATATTTGAGATATTTGAGATATTTGAGATATTTGAGATATTTGAGATATTTGAGATATTTGAGATATTTGAGATATTTGAGATATTTGAGATATTTGAGATATTTGAGATATTTGAGATATTTGAGATATTTGAGATATTTGAGATATTTGAGATATTTGAGATATTTGAGATATTTGAGATATTTGAGATATTTGAGATATTTGAGATATTTGAGATATTTGAGATATTTGAGATATTTGAGATATTTGAGATATTTGAGATATTTGAGATATTTGAGATATTTGAGATATTTGAGATATTTGAGATATTTGAGATATTTGAGATATTTGAGATATTTGAGATATTTGAGATATTTGAGATATTTGAGATATTTGAGATATTTGAGATATTTGAGATATTTGAGATATTTGAGATATTTGAGATATTTGAGATATTTGAGATATTTGAGATATTTGAGATATTTGAGATATTTGAGATATTTGAGATATTTGAGATATTTGAGATATTTGAGATATTTGAGATATTTGAGATATTTGAGATATTTGAGATATTTGAGATATTTGAGATATTTGAGATATTTGAGATATTTGAGATATTTGAGATATTTGAGATATTTGAGATATTTGAGATATTTGAGATATTTGAGATATTTGAGATATTTGAGATATTTGAGATATTTAGATATTTGAGATATTTGAGATATTTGAGATATTTGAGATATTTGATATTTGAGATATTTGAGATATTTGAGATATTTGAGATATTTGAGATATTTGAGATATTTGAGATATTTGAGATATTTGAGATATTTGAGATATTTGAGATATTTGAGATATTTGAGATATTTGAGATATTTGAGATATTTGAGATATTTGAGATATTTGAGATATTTGAGATATTTGAGATATTTGAGATATTTGAGATATTTGAGATATTTGAGATATTTGAGATATTTGAGATATTGAGATATTTGAGATATTTGAGATATTTGAGATATTTGAGATATTTGAGATATTTGAGATATTTGAGATATTTGAGATATTTGAGATATTTGAGATATTTGAGATATTTGAGATATTTGAGATATTTGAGATATTTGAGATATTTGAGATATTTGAGATATTTGAGATATTTGAGATATTTGAGATATTTGAGATATTTGAGATATTTGAGATATTTGAGATATTTGAGATATTTGAGATATTTGAGATATTTGAGATATTTGAGATATTTGAGATATTTGAGATATTTGAGATATTTGAGATATTTGAGATATTTGAGATATTTGAGATATTTGAGATATTTGAGATATTTGAGATATTTGAGATATTTGAGATATTTGAGATATTTGAGATATTTGAGATATTTGAGATATTTGAGATATTTGAGATATTTGAGATATTTGAGATATTTGAGATATTTGAGATATTTGAGATATTTGAGATATTTGAGATATTTGAGATATTTGAGATATTTGAGATATTTGAGATATTTGAGATATTTGAGATATTTGAGATATTTGAGATATTTGAGATATTTGAGATATTTGAGATATTTGAGATATTTGAGATATTTGAGATATTGATTTGAGAATTTGAGATATTTGAGATATTTGAGATATTTGAGATATTTGAGATATTTGAGATATTTGAGATATTTGAGATATTTGAGATATTTGAGATATTTGAGATATTTGAGATATTTGAGATATTTGAGATATTTGAGATATTTGAGATATTTGAGATATTTGAGATATTTGAGATATTTGAGATATTTGAGATATTTGAGATATTTGAGATATTTGAGATATTTGAGATATTTGAGATATTTGAGATATTTGATATTTGAGATATTTGAGATATTTGAGATATTTGAGATATTTGAGATATTTGAGATATTTGAGATATTTGAGATATTTGAGATATTTGAGATATTTGAGATATTTGAGATATTTGAGATATTTGAGATATTTGAGATATTTGAGATATTTGAGATATTTGAGATATTTGAGATATTTGAGATATTTGAGATATTTGAGATATTTGAGATATTTGAGATATTTGAGATATTTGAGATATTTGAGATATTTGAGATATTTGAGATATTTGAGATATTTGAGATATTTGAGATATTTGAGATATTTGAGATATTTGAGATATTTGAGATATTTGAGATATTTGAGATATTGATGAGATATTTGAGATATTTGAGATATTGAGATATTGAGATATTTGAGATATTTGATGAGATATTTGAGATATTTGAGATATTTGAGATATTTGAGATATTTGAGATATTTGAGATATTTGAGATATTTGAGATATTTGAGATATTTGAGATATTTGAGATATTTGAGATATTTGAGATATTTGAGATATTGATTTGAGATATTTGAGATATTGAGATATTTGAGATATTTGAGATATTTGAGATATTTGAGATATTTGAGATATTTGAGATAATTTGAGATATTTGAGATATTTGAAATATTTGAGATATTTGAGACAGTAGTTTTTAATAATTTAGTTGGGTATCCATTGCAAAATAAACATGAGTCTGTAGTGCCGTTATGCAGAAGAGGGGATGCAGTCTGGGAACCAAGTCTGTTTGGGACTATTCTAGCTGTGTTCCCCAAGGGAGTGAGCAGAGGGATGCCTGAATAGTAAATGTACACCACCAACAATAGTTAAATAATAATTGTACATAGAAATAAATAAAAGTTAAATATTAAAAAGAAATAATGTACCCTCAGTTTCTCTAACGCTTTGGATATATTTATGTTTCATATTATTTTGATTTAGCAAGTTAAGCTTCTCGTGATAATTCTCCAGCGTACCCAGTTCTACAAAAGTTTCTTTCAGCGTATGTCTCAATCCGTGACTCTTCATGTAAATGCCCACGTTTCTCTCAAGTAGAGAATTTCTTACTTTCGCTGCAATCCATCTATGTAGTAACTTTTTACACTTTTGCATAAGATGCACTTTTGTAAAATCTTCTAATTTAATTTCAACAGGCTCTAACCAAGATTTTGGAATGTCTACTATCTCTGGCTCTAATTCAAAATCTTCTGATAATAGAGACACTGAAAGAAAAAGGTTTCTGACTGTATTGTTGAAGGTATTTTATTTGCTATACTGGATACAATATAAAATTAAATGCACGTCATCGGTGAGGTTATTAATCGACAGTAGTACTACAATTTAAATTATTAAGACCCAGCCAAACACCTTGAAAATTTTAAATTCCTTCTGTGCCTTTATTTTAAGTCCAATTTTTGTGAATTTTTCAGAAAATACCAATTAGTAAAAAAATTTTTTTCGTAAAACCATAAAGTATATTTTTTACTAATTTTTAAAAGGAACTACAAAATAGTAGTTCTCGCAACAAGTGCTTCTAGCACGTGTTACGACAACATTTTTTCTACAATCGCATTTATTTCTAAAATAGAGAATTAACCTGTATAATGACATTAGGTACAACATACAGTTTAAGTATACATATATTAAACCGATGTTATGTACTGAATTGGTGTAGTGGTTAGGGTTTCGGGCTCATAACATAACGCAAAGATCTTAGGTTCAAACCCGGGCATGGGCGAAAATATATTCCTTTTTTTTTTCAATTTATATTTCTCTGCGTGCGAGAAGATAAACTTCTCGCACTCGAAAGAGTGCTATTGCATTCAACTGAACGAATATATTTCATAGTCATTCTAGGTAGTGAGAACACTGCAAAATAATGAAATCCACTAATCACAGTTTAATATTTTGAACACTTTTAAAATTTTAAATAAGTGACAATTTTCTTAAACTAATTGTTAAAAATACCTACATTCAACATAACAAATAATTCTAAAAATAATTTAAATTTAAACAATGAATAAATTTAAAACTAATTTAAATTTAAATGATAACGAATAAATCTTAAAATAATTGAAATTTTTATAACCGCATTATTTATGTTTAACTCGACACCTGAAGGCAAAACTCTCAAGGTGAACCACTTGTTCGCTTACCGAACTCAATATACAAATATTTTTACGAAATGAACTCGCCCAACAGAAGAGGTCTTAGCAGTTGATTCTATGCATCTCTCTTCCTAGCGAAACAAGCAAAAAGATTTAGATCCTCTTGAGCTCTCGTACAAATCGGGTGGTTTCTCGTACAAAGCAATGGTCGGTTTTATACTATTTTTTATAAGTTATTTTTTGAGCAAAAAAATTAAAGTATGATTGCATTATCATAAGCAAACATTGTTCCACTCACAGGCAAAGGTTAAGCCTGTAGGTATATTTTGTTAAACTTTGTAAATATGTTAAAGTGTTCTATATCTGTAATATATAGAGGGTGGGTTACCCCACGGAACTTAGGCCTTATTAGGCCCATTGTGCATCATCATAACGTGATAGGCACCTCCTAATTTGTGAGCCAGTCTACAGATTTAATGTAGTTGACAACGTCGCCAAGAGGTGCTTCTCTTATATCGGCCGGTGTTAGCAGATACTCGCCGAACACAAATCTTCTAATAAAAGAGATCGTCGGGCAGTCGTAAAGGATATGCTTAATGGTTTCATCTTTTTGTTCGCACCCTCTGCAGAGTGCGGATTCTAACAGCCCCATGATATAGAGATGCTTCCGTACTTGGCAATGACTAGTCAGAATGCCTGTAACCAGACGCAGATTCTGTCTAGTCATAGTCAAGTATTTGTTTGCTGCAGTGCTGTAAGGATAACTTAAGAGCTCCCTGGAAACTCTGCAGTTTCTTATTTCATCCCATCTTTCCTTGAATTTCACAAGGCAATGTTCTTTAATTAGGTCTGTCACTACCGATTTTGTCAAGCCAATAGAAGGGCTAGGTCCAAAAAGTATTTGGTTGGCTGCTTTCTTGACTAATGAATTAGCAAGAGTGTAACCTTTCGATGACCTCTGACTTCTTGATTCATTATAAGATGACCAAATTGTTGATGGATACTTCGGCCAAAGCTTCGTGACATTCTAGTACTAACCCTGAATAATTTCGTGGTCTGTTCAGGGTGAGTACTGCTTGTCTGCTATTTGTATAGATGAGCATGTTCCTTCCAGTGATATTGTTTCTGGTTATTTCTTTTGCTGCTATGAGAATCTCCGTTAGCTCTGTTTGAAATACACTGGCACTATTTCTCACAGCCCATTGTATGTTTAGGTATAAGAATCTGGAGTATATTCCACATCCTGAGCCTTGTTTTGTTTTAGAACCATCGGTGTAGATATGAATCGTACCTGCCACTTCTGGCTCTTCCATAAAACTAATAATAAAATAAAGTAATAATAAAATTTTATATGGCTCATGGAAGATATATCTCGGTAAGATGGACTCCATGTTCGCTTGAAGCAGTAGGTGCTTATCGAGCGCCTCCTGCCAAAAGTGACGTCTCGCCTCACCAGATACTACATTCCAACCATGCGAAGGCGTGTCATTGTCGTCAGAGAAACCTTCTCGATGTAATTATCAAGGTCAGTGAGACAAATAATGACTTCCATCGCTCTGGTCGGTGTTGTTTTCATGGCTCCTGTTATGTTCAGACATGCTGCTCTTTAAATTTGTTCTAGTTTACAGATAACTGTTAATTTTTAAGTTTTCGGTACCCATATAACTGCATTGTATGTTAGCATAGGTCTTATGGTACGTTTACATCTGACATTTATTGCATGATATTTATTGTCTGACAGTTGTTTAGTCTAGTGTAAACACTCAAAAATATATCTCCGAGAGAAATTTTTGTGTGTTTACACTGTAGTAAACAACTGTCAGACATAAATCTCATGCAATAAATGTCAGATGTAAACGTACCTTTATGATAGATGTGTAAGTCCATGCCACGACTCTGCGGGATAAACCATAGGTGCGCCCGATGGTTCGGCGGCATTGTTCATAAGCAATGTATGCTCTTTTTACACTGTTTTCTAAATGCGAGTTCCATATGCTAAATAAGTTGTTCTGAACGTATACAATAGTTATTTATCTATTTTCTTATTAAACTGTATGCATATGTTATAAATAGTTTTTTGGCAGGTTGTTGATAAATACAATTTTATTTGTTTGTAGAACTTAAATTGGAGTCTGCCGCTGTGGAGTGGACAATATTCTTAACTAATATTTCTACTTCATTAGTAGCTAAAATTATAAAAAATGGAGGATATCCTCAACATTCGAGAAACGATTCCGGTTCTTCTCTTTGTATACTAAAAGCATTTATTAGAACTATTCAAACAATATATGATATGTATGATGCAAACAACTTCCCAAATTTAAGCAAACGAATGAAAACTAAAAAACAAGATGATAATTGAAAATTGCCACAAAACTACTTAATTTGTGGAGATTTTTAAGACGACATGGTTTTAGATTTAAAGTAGTGGACAAATGACAAGGAATTATTCTATCTTATCGATTAGTAAAATAGAGAAATTGATTATATTGGAAAAATTCGGCAATTTCGTAGTGAAGAACGAACACTGTATTATTTGGACGAATCTTGGGTTGATACTCATAAAATTACAAAAAAAAGTTGGTTTGATGGTAAAAAATGCGTAGCTGATGTAATGGGGGTAAAATAATATGTATCTTACATTGTGGAGGAGCATACCCAGACAGCACACCAAATACTTTAGATATCTACTGGACATCCCAATATCCACTGAATGTCCAGTCCATGGTGGATATCTAATTTATATCCATGAGATGTAATTTATAGATTTGCAAATGTCCATAAATAATAGTAATTATATAGCAAATTATTAAAAAATTACGCCATTGTGCTCGCCATTGTGGCTAATAGTACCGTTCAGATATTTAAAATTATTTTTTTTAAGGTTCATTTAATATCCCATGGACATCCACTAAATATATCAAAGTCTAGGCGCGAACACAAACCATGGTGGATATCCACTAGATGTAATTTTTGATTTTGCTTACTAAGTATAGATGGCGATACCACTTTCGCTCGTTGACTTTCTACTCATGCTCAACCCGCCGTAATTCAGTTCGATCGAAATTGATGTCGCAATCAGACTTCATTAGGGAATTTCCATTTATTGCTGAAGATTCCTAATAAGGATGACTTTCTCCTTAGTGGGCAAAATCAAAGACAGAGTGTTGAAAATATTTTGAATCTTGAACATATTTTTTTCTACGAACTCTTACAAAAAGACATCTTTCGCCACAGGATACTTTCAGCGAAAACTTGATGTCCGTCACTAGTGAGAAAAAATCCCATAACGTTTACTTTCGTCTCTAGTGACGAAAGTAAGTTGTTACATATTTTCATATATCAGTCGCCTCGTATAATATTTTGGCAGCTTATAATTATTAATAATGAAATAAAAAGATGCTCATTAAATTCTATATGCGTTTTTTACCTAAACTTTAATGAATTAAAGATAAAATAAAAATGTATAAAAATAGTGCAAATTAAACCAATCTACATCTAGTTTCCTGGTTTTCATTTGTTTATTTGAAGTTTTATCACTTTTGAGAACGGTCAGTTTCAGTTCGTCCTAAATTTAACACATTTTCATGATGTCTGAGTCAGAAAGCGATTGTACTCCCCCAGAAATTATTTTTAAAGCTGAAGAAACCTCTTCAGATTTATTACCGGCCAAATCAAAAAAGAGATATGAAGAAATTTATATCAAATTTTTGGACTGGAGAGAAAAAAAATAAAGTGAAATCATTTTCGGAAACTGTACTACTAGCATACTTTGGAGAAATATGTTCAAATTTTAAACCGTCGACGTTATGGTCCATTTATTCGATGCTAAGAACTACACTCTCTGTTAAAAATGATGTCGATATTAGTAAATATCGAAAGTTACGTTCGCTTTTAAAAAGAAAATCTGATGGTTTCAAAAGCCAAAAATCCAATATTTTTTCGCCTGAAGACATAAGGACTTTCCTAAAGAATGCACCTGACTATAAATATTTAATAACAAAGGTAACGGAATTATTATTTTTATTTTAACAAATACTTAATACATAACTACTAATATTTGTAGGTAGCATTAGTTTTTGGATTATCTGGCACGAACTAAAAGATTTAACAAT